CCCCCAAAACCCCAAAACCCCAAAACCCCTTTTAAACTCCTTAAACTGAGCACTGTAATAATAAATCTTATGTTTTTAATCTGTGACGTGTTCTCCCAGGAAGGAATCAGGAGCTTGACTGAGGACGGATATGAAGTTGTCTATAATAAGGACCTGGCAGGAGATGGGCTAGTGGAGGAGGTCAGGAGTCTACAGCCTGAAGTGCTGGTGGTCAGATCGACGAAGGTTACTAAGGGCGTCATAGATGCCAGTTCTAATTTGAAAGTTATCATACGGGCGGGAGCTGGGACTGATACTATTGATGTGGAATATGCTACAACTCAAGGGATCTATGTGGCTAACTGCCCGGGTAAAAATGCTACAGCTGTAGCAGAGCTAGCTATGGGGCTCATTATTAGTATTGATAGAAGACTTGCAGAGAACTACTTGTTCCAAAAGCAAGGTAAATGGAGGAAAGGAATCTTTGCTAAATGTTTGGGCCTTAAAGGAAGAACACTTGGGCTCATTGGATTCGGGAATATCTCTCAGAAGGTTGCACAGAGAGCACTAGCTTTTGAAATGAAAGTTGTGGCTTATGATGTGATTCAGAAAGATACAGAAGGAGTTCAGTTCGTTTCCTCTATCGATGAAGTTCTTGAAATTGCAGATATCGTATCACTCCATGTGCCTAATCTTCCAACCACTAAGGGAATGGTGAATGCTGAGTTCCTCAACAAAATGAAGGACAACGCTGTGCTGATCAACACAGCTAGAGGAGAGCTCATAAATGAAGAAGATCTTGCTGTTCACCTCGAAACCAATGAGAATTTTTGGTATGGAACAGATGTTTTAAAAGGAGAACCAAGCTCTAAAGAATGTGACTGGGAGCATCCTTTAGCTCTTCACCCAAGAGTATATGGCTCTCACCACATTGGAGCTTCTACGAAGCAAGCTGAGGCTGAGATAGGAGAAGAAGTTGTCAGAATTGGCAAGAAATTTAAAGAGATCGGAATCATAGATGACATAAATCACGTTAATAAGTCAATGCTGAAGAAAAATTATACTCTCGTCATAAGGGCCAAAAATGGAACTAAATCTTTAGCAGATATCTACACCACTCTAGAAGACAACCAATGGGATATCGAGAAGACCGAGTCAACCCCTTGTAAGAGTGAAGGCCTCTTCCTACTTAAAATTCTTGGCGACGGGCCAAGAAACATCGAAGAGAAACTCTCCTCATTCGAATCAATCGAGGAGGTTTCATTTGAATAAATTTCATGATAAAAATTTCGAAATTTAAATTTTATTCAATAGAATATGAATGAAAAGGGGTTTTGGGGTTTTGGGGTTTTGGGGTTTTGGGGTTTTGGGG